GTATTGCCTATTGGCAAGTTCTACCCTTCGCTTCTGAGATTTACAAACTATATTGAAATAATGCAAGTAAAAAATAGTGACAACTTATAAGCCATACATTTTCCAATAACGACAAAACGTGGATGCAGAACCAAATGCCATGCCGATCATTGATCGGTGTTATTTCAAGCTCTGTCTTAACAATTTTGAATTGATATTGATTTCAAATTATTAAAGCCATGTAAATGTTATCCCATGCAACTGTTAGGAAGGGCAAAATTTTGAACGGAGGACAAAAAATCCTAAAGAAAAGGTGAAGTTTCTAAAGGGAGGCGAATTTCCTAAAGGGGGGCGAATTTCCTAGGAATTTCCCCCCCGGGGAGGGGCGATATTCCTAGGAATTTCGCCCCCCCCCCCCGGGGGGCAAGACCCCGGATTGGAGCGGCTTGACAAAATTCAGATCAACAAATCTTGTCAATCAAATGTTGTCAATCTGTTCCAGTCTGGGTATTTCTTGATGTTTTTTTGATGCTTGTATTCCCTGTGATCTTGTCGACACTAGAAACCAAAATGGCGGGAGAAACAAATTAGTCTTCAGCGGAGAGAAATTCTATTACTTACCGTGGAATGATAGCGACGTTATTCTAGTTGTTCAAGGCTGGGAACTCCATGTACATAAAACTATACTGGCTCTTCAATCACCAGTTTTCAAAGCGATGTTTAATGGCCAGTTTCGGGAAGCCACTGCTGAGCGAGTAACCTTAGAAGGAAAAACTCATAAATGGGTGCTGCAATTTTTGAGGCTTTTATACCCTGCAAATATTTATTCGGATGAAGCAGTCAATCAAATCTTTGCTGAGATTGAGCATGTTCAATTAAGAGAGATGCGTGTGAAATCATTTGGAGATTCTATAATCCATAAATCCAAGTGCTAAATATGAAGGCTAATGCAAAATCAGGGAATGGAATTTAAACATGACGTCTAACTGTCTATAAGGGTCAGTTTCCTGCCCAATAAACTTTGATATTGTTTATGCAAACTGGGACATATGATGCAAATTGAATGTATTTGAGCATATGAACAAAGTCATACAATTATGTTAGAGAATGGTTGTGTTATTTCAAAAGTTGATAGCACATTAACATTACATTGACCATCTCGTCCAAAATATAAACAGATTTGTGGCAAGGGAACCAGAATTATACAAATCTTGCCCTAGTGCCTCATTGGTTTTTAATTGGATAATTAGTATGTTTTTAAGTCTGTAGAGAAGTTGTGATGTCCGGGGTGATGTAAATCTGTGGGCCGTTTAAGACTTACTTAAATTAAGTAAGTTAGTTAGGTGTGCACTTGGTGTATGTTTGTCAGAGGGTAAACTTTTACTTCATTGTAACACTTTTTATAAACCTCTCAATGTAACACTTTTTATAAACCTTTCACATTCTTTTGCCTATTTAAATTTTTGGTTTCTTTACAGACACTAGAACAGACATGATATGTTTGAACATAAAATATAATTTTTTTGTGTCAACCCAATAATGATTAATGCGGCCCAAAACCTTCCCATACACGATTGTCAAATCGTATAACACGATTGTCATTCTGGCGTATGAAAATGACTGCTGATGCTATACTATCCCTGTTCATCAGTTTATGGCGGAATTTGACATGTGACATCTTTACATGTTTTTATTCGAGTACATACACCAGGGTCAGACATGCTAACTCTCCCGATTTTTCCGGGAGACTCCCGTTTTTACAGCTCAATTTCATCTCCCGCACGATTTTGAATATTATCGTAAAACTCCCGACTTTATCTTCATGTAGTTCAACAACTTCAACAATGCATAATATTTTCATCAATCATTGCACTTTTTTTCGCTTTTTCTTCTTCATATAATTCATCTGAGTTAACAACTCATTCGAATCAATAGTCTAAAATTTGAAATAAAAATTAAAAAGCTAATTTCTTCAATTATTTTCGAAATTTTTTCTCTGGCAATCAACTGGAATTAGACCGCTTAAAATTCAAAATGAGCGCAGGGACCTTGGCCCGCGCCACTAAGGTCATTGTCTGACCATACTTCCCAATCTCCCTCTTTGCTTACTCCCAAAGTTGGCATGTCTGCCTCCGAGGGTGTAGTCGTATCGTGTAGATGGGCCTTTCTAGATAAGTTTCACTAAGCGCTATCTGCACGCAGATGTGGTGGTCAACCTGAACTGAGTTATCAGAGTGAGAAAATAATGTTAATTCTTTTCACAATATTTCTAAGTACCTGTTAACATTAAAAGTTGACCACGATTTGTCGCCAAGTAAGCCCATCTTTTATTATTGCCTAAGGCAAATTCCTACAACCCCCCCCCCCTGCTGCAATGAAGGTCAGATAATTTGCGCAAAGGCCGGCCGATGAGGAGTACCGGATTTTTAGAATGCACCCTTTGGAAAGCACATCACTTTGGATATAGAACCCATGTCAATGATAGAGGTTTGTTAGATGACATACTTTCCACAGAAGCGTGTATTCTCATTTGAAAATAATACTTTTTATTTAGTCCTTTTTGAGACTTTTCGTTTATTTTACATGACGTATTTCCCTGTGGGTTGTGTCATTACAACACAAAGATTTTCGCGCGGATTTTAATTATGAGTCTTTAATAATATGACTGATTAGCACTATTAATTTTTAGGCTGCTAGAGTACTAGGTTTCCACTCAGTTCTGTGCATCTATCTCGACTATCTGTAGCAAAATATGAGTACCGGTAGTCAAAACTCAGACATTTTTTCACAATCATGGAACGACAGCGATGTAGTGTTAGTAGTTGAAGGCAAAGAAGTTCATGTTCATCGCTATATGTTGTCAATGCAATCCCCGGTGTTCAAGGCGATGTTCAACGGCAATTTCAAGGATTCACAACAAGAGAAGATCGAGCTAAAAGATGATAAGTATGAAGCCATGTTGCTATTCCTTCAACTATTATACCCAACGAACATGCTGGATGAGAGTAGAGGCAATGTAGATATCAACGATGAAAATGTTCTTCAAATTCTCGAGATTGCCGATAAATACACAGCTATTAATATCATAAAGCAATGTGTGAAAGAAGCCGGGAAGCTTGAACCAGAGATTACAATGCGTCTACTTCCTTATGCCTCACGACATGAATTACCACTGGACGAAATACTTGAAGTCATTGGCACAGAGGTATCAACAAAGGAGTTAGAAAATTATGCTCCAGAACTTGGTGATGACCGTCTTTACATCCAGTCATTGGAGAAAAAATGTCACTCTCTAGAGAGACTCGCAAAGCGGGCTTATACCATTATCCTCTTCATGTTGGATAGGCACTTTAAAAACGGTTCCGTGGACATGTCAGTCAGGAAGTGTCATTTGCACGGAGGTCTTGGTCCAGCCCCAAGTTTTAAAAAAATCCGGAAATGCCCCTGTTGTTTGAGCGCTTACCAGAAATTTATCAACAAATGCGTGTTCTCGAATTGGCCATTAGCTATCCGTTTTGAGGGTTCTCGTTTGAGCTGCTTGGATTTTATGGATTTCCTTAGAACCGTAGGGAACATTGAAACTAGTATATAATTTACATCGCTTGACTTAATTTTTGGACCGGCATCAACCACACCCCGGACAAAATTTGGATCGGAACAGATCAATAAATCTTGTCAATCAAATTTTGTCAATCTGTAACTGTTCCGGTCTGGGTATTTCTTGATGCTTGACGTTATTAGGAATTTTATGAATGGAATATTGAGGACATGTGTAGTGACATAGTTCTTTATTTGAAATAAAACTATTTATTTTTGTGGCGTTAGCTACAGGTTTAACTGACCAGTGACTAGCTCTATTGCCTCCACATGATTCTTGGAGTTGGACTCCAGACATTTTGAGTTTTTAAATGGATATATCTTGGGGCAGGCCATTAGAAAAGTGAGAGGGGGGGGGGGGAAAGCAAAAATAAAAATTGTGCAGGGGAAAAAAAGTTTGAGAAAAAAAATCGTGCGCACCAAAAAAGTTTCAGAAAAAAAATTTGTGCAGAGCCTTTTCAACAGGGAAAATTATAAGTTGAAATAAAAAAAATTCAATGCAAATTATTATATTTTAAAAAATTATCGACACAAGCAACAAATTTAAAAAAATATTCGTACAAGTCCCCCCCCCCTATCACTTTTCTTATGGTCCGCCCCTAATATAATCCTTGTTCAGCATGCCACTTAACTTGAAGACCTTTTGACAGCAGTGTCACACTGAGGCATCCCCTCGATAGAAAATCAGAATTTCTCTGACGTGCTTATAGACTTATTATAATACAATCTGTGTTTGTACTGTGGAAGTAGTCAACAAGTGGCAAAGGTGTCGAAATGACCTAACTGATCATCTGTCAACACAAGGCAAACTCTCGATTTTTGGGTTAGGTTTATGATTTATGTTAGGATTAGGGTTTGGATTAACATTGAAGATGAGATCAAGTCTGTTCTGCGCATGTGCTATGTGAGGGCCCTCTGATGTAAACAATACCCAACAGTATTTTAAAACATTTTTATTGTTAAAAACATTGAGTTTACTTATCTTGAATTGTGTATAATTGATTTTCCTAGTTAGCTTTTTTCAATTAAAAAGGCCGAAATGCGCCTTAAAAACCATCGTTCAAAAGGCTGAACTGTGCCTTTAAGTAGTGATAGAGGTTGGTTGGTTTATAATGTGAACATTTATAATGCATCATTCTTTCTTACTTCATTTTTTTTCTTTGTTGTGAGCAGAACTGATGCGCAGAACGGACTGTAGCTCAAGTACTGATGCGCAGAACAGACTGTAGCTCATTTGACAAGTATTTGAGCTACAGCCTACAGTCTGTTCTGCGTATCAGTATACTTGAGCTACAGTCCGTTCTGCACATCAGTTCTGCTCACAACAAAGGGGGACCCGCAGACATAACATTGCCCTAATTTTGCATCTTTCGAACTTTTTTGAATTAAAACGGTAGAGTTTATATTCATTTACAAGCACAGCGAACCAGAAAAGTGTTAGATATTCAGTTAGTATACTGTATCATGTATCAAAGCGGTTTGTTTACATTGCGAAATTTAAGGTGGAGTAAGTAATGTTTACAACATGAGCGGCCGTGTTGTATTACGAAAGTCACCGAACTGTGGAATCGCATCAAAAATTCGTATATCGACCACTCCCACAAACGTCTACGACCGCGCCTACATAGTTTTGCACGTTTACAATTCTAATTTTAAACAGCCAATTACCAAGAACCTGATTGGCTGTTCAAAATTAGAATTGTAAACATGCAAAACTACGTAGTCGAATGTAGGCGTGGTCGTAGACGTTTGTGGGAGTGGTCGATATACGAATTTTTTATGCGATTCCACAGTTCGGTGATTTTCGTAATATCGGATATACAAACTCTTCGGCTCGAGTTTGTATATCCGATACAACACGGACGCGAATATTTTCGATTCCTTCCTAGTTGGTTGCATCAAATCTTAACTTTTCCAGTTCCGCGGAAAACGTTTCTCTAGATAGCGACACTTCCCAACCAAACATTGTTTATAAACAGTGTCGTTGCTGAGTTGCGGTGCAAAATTTTCTAGCTCCTTGATTGATATACGCCGAGCAATGATATCAAATATATTTTCAAGAATTTCAACTGGTAATTCATGTCTTGCAGCATAAGGAAGGATACCCATCGCATTCTCCGGTTTAAGCCGCTCGGGTTTCCTCATACATTGCTTTATGACATTTATTGCTGCGTATTTATCTGCGACCTCGAGAATCTCGAAGACATTTTCATCGTTGATTTTTACTCTGCCATTATCTTCATTGAGCATGTTTTTTGGGTACAATAGTTTAAGGAATTGCACCATCGCTTCATATTTATCACCTTTTAGCTCGACCTCATCTTGTTTAGCATCCTTGAAATTGCCGTTCAACATCGCCTTGAACACCGGAGACTGCAGTGACAAAATACAACGATGGACATGAAATTTTTCCTTTCCAAGTACTAAGACTACATCGCTGTCGTTCCATGATCGTGAAAAAATGTTGTCTTCATCTTCGTCGTCGCTAACCAACGGACTTATATCTGAATCTAAATCTGAATGAGGCAGTGCCATAACTTCCCTAATGACTTGCCACCATTCACATCACGCCACCTGCCTCCTCCGCAGGCCCTTACTATTTGTAGATCAGTGTATATATAGACATATCAGTTTAATATATAGATCAGTGGCTGAACAAATCTGTTGTGATGCATGATGGTCCTCCCCTTCCCATCGTCCCGCGCGCCCCCATTAATTTTTTTTCGTCTTTTACTAATTAATTATTTGATAGCAAGCGACTGGGGACGAGGCAGTCACGCCACCATTTAATAAATTTGTGGAATTTTGTTTAGGAGTTTCTTGCGCAATTAGCGTAGGCGTCGCGGTTGCCAAGGTACAATTTTTGTCTCTATCTTTTATACTTGAGGGATTACACGATCAGGCTATCTGGAAATCATGACAAGAACTTCGGCGTCGCGAACGAAGGCCTTTCAAGGGTTTTCGTAGCCTGCTCGCAGCCCGAAATTTCGTTCAAAGGAAAATCCAATCTCGTACCCAGAGCAATGCCTGTGCGCGGGCTAGGATGGCATTGACATCCTAGCCCGCGCACAGGCATTGTTCTGGGTACGAGATTGAGGAAAACCGGAAATTTTCCGTTCCAAATTTTCGCGTGGGAGCTGCGAGCAGACTAGGGGTTCGCTCGAAACGTTAAATAATATCAAACTTTGAATGTTTAAAAAATGTATGAGCTATTTTTAATATGTTGTTGACTTTCGCAGACATTTCAGTCGCAGCAACGCGAAAATCTGGAGTTTTTGGAGCAAGAGAGAAAGGGACTGGAGGAGACTACACTTGAGTTGGAACAACTGGTAAGCATACAATCTCGTTCTCCGGGCATGCCCGTTCGCAGGTTAATCCCACCCTTAACCTGCGAACGGGCATGCTTGGGGAACGAGATTGGTAAGCATGGCGTTTATATAAGATCCTGTTCAATCCAGCTCAACCTGTTGCTCCAACTTCATCCAGCATTGTGGGATGCAATATTGTTGGGTCTGTTTTGAACATTATGTTTGGGGCTTCCTTCTATTTATATTCAGCGCTTTTTCAAGTGAGAAGACTGGGACCTACGCAATTTGGGGGCGGGGCGAAGGGAGAAATAGAATCCCGCCTCGGTGACGTCATTGAAGTCGAATAACCCGCTGATGTTTGGTATACTGTTGGCGAACTGTTTAGTGAAAATTTACAACATGACAACTTACACTCCTGACGTCACTATACCAACTGCATGAGCTGTCACTAAACGTATATACGTTGGCTCGTAAAGATTTTAGCATAACCTGCTCTAACTCCGCCTGTATTCTGCGATATCTCACAGAAATGAAACGCAGAATTGAAATCTTCATGTGCAAATTAGTTTATTCCGAAAATTTCACGTTGTTTGGACATTCGGGGAGCCATTTACGGCATTTTTACTGCAGCCGTAAATTCCAGTCGACTGTACTAAGAAAAAAATTCAAAACGCCGTAACTTGCGCCCTGAATGTCCCAGCGAACATCGTGAATGTTCCGTATTGACTAATTTGCGCATGAAGATGTTCTGAGGTCCATTTTTGGCAAAGATTTGTAGATACTAGTAACTAAATGGAAGGACTTTATTACTCTTATATTTACTTATGATGCGAAATGTTTTAGGTTGAAACACGCACGGAAGAACTGGAAGTTACACGACAAGCTTTGGAAGAGAAAACCCATCATTACGAAGAAATGAGAGAAACTGTGCATAAATTACGGTATTTACTTGGAATTATTTCAACTTATATGATTGTAAAATCACAAAAACACAGAATGCTACCTGCACTTTTTCAGGTAGTTCAGACGCAAACCACGACAGCTTACTGTAGAATACTACCTGCACTGGACCACGCGTTGAGATATCTTTTTCAGGTAGTTCAGACGCAAACCACGACAGCTTACTGTAGAATACTACCTGCACTGGACCACGCGTTGAGATATCTTTTTCAGGTAGTTCAGACACAAACCACGACAGCTTATTGTAGAGTACCTTCTGCGCACTGCATGTCGTGTTTTATATTAACAATGTGTTTTTCTGATCCAGGAATCAACTATCAGACGTCCAAGATGAACTTGATGCCGTGCAGTCCCAGGCTTATCTTGTCATGTTGGAACAAGAGAAAGAGTTGACCGCTGTATCCAGAGTTCTGGAAAAGACTTGGGAACGACTGGTCACTGTTGTAGAGATATACAAAGAACAATTTAAAGTGCAAGAACAGGTTGGTGTAGGACCATTGAACTATAAATAAACTTGGAAGGCTAACTGCTCATAGACGGATTTTCATATTTTTTACTGGGGTGGTGCCAGAAATTTTAGGGGGGTGAGCCGTGAGCAGGTGACTGAAGCAACACAAAGTGTCACCAAACCCCAGTAAGGTCTATATTCTAGGGGTGGAGCACTAGAGCCGCGAGGGGGAGTCTAGAGAGCAGAAAACAAAGTATCCCTGGAAAAATTTCAGTGAAAAAAGTCATGATTTCTAGCTTCGAAAAAACGTTTTTTGAAGTTGTCATATCAATGGATTTGGCATGTGTCCGATTGTCTGTTGAGACTTGAGAGAGTTAAAGTTAAATGAACCTGTAAAAGTGTAAACCCAATAGGCCAATACACAATATGCTTTTACTTTTATAAAGTCATTGACATTGTGTCGTTTGAATCCGAGTACAATTTATGATTTCTATTTGAGTGTACTCCTACGTTTATTTTGCATCATCAACACTCTGCACGTTGGAGTGGACTATTTAATTATTTTTGTTATGCCGAATATTGGGGTGGTTGAAAATGTTTTTGGAGGGGTGGACATTTTGTTTGGGGGGGTTATAGCTAATATTGGGGGGTAGACCCCTCAAATCTCCCCCACACACACACACACAAAATCCGTCTATGTAACTGCTATGATGAAGGCCTATGATTTGATGAAGCCAAAATAGTTTTTCTGAGTTATGAGCAGAAATACTCAACACTGAACGTTGGGCTATATATCAAATTGAAGCTATTGAAAATTGCTATTTGGTGTGGAAATTTCAAGACTTCAGCGAAAAGAAAAATATTTAAAAAATACAAAAACAACTGCAAAATGGCAAATTATCGGTAATTATGTTTGTAGTTTTTCAATATTTCCCTTTTAGCTAAAGTCTTGAAATTTCTACACCAAGTAGCATTTTTCAATAGCTTCAATTTGATATATAGGCCAACGTTCAGTAGTATTTCTGCTCATAACTCAGAAAAACTAAAATGCACTGGCTTCAATCCCCCCCCTTGAGTTAGCCTTCCAGTTTATTTATAGTTCAATGTGTAGGATCCGTTTCCAAAGGAACTAGCGTCGGTTGGTCGGTCAGCTAGTCAGGCGATGGGTGGGTGAGGTGGTAGTTGATCAGACGATCAATCAGTAATATTGTTTTCTCTATTTTTCTAGCCCGACGTGGAGCGAGATAGCGAAGAAATATCGACGGATCCATACAAGCCTTCATTTGTGTACTCAGTCTTAGCTGCTGTCTCGGGAACTGTGCCACAAGTAAGGGTGGTTAAGTTTGATTAACTAGCTGTCAGTCACACGAGCAACAAAATTGCTGCAACTTGTAACAAAATCTGATTTCAACGCATGTTAAGTAGAAATGTCGACACATGTTGCCTTGTGATTTGTAATTTATGTGTAAACATTTTCAATTAACATGCGTTGAAATCAGATTTTGTTGCAAGTTGCAGCAATTTTGTTCAGTGGCGTAACGTTATATCAGGGGGCCCCCGGTTCAAAATTTTCGAAGGCCCCCCTAGTAGAAGTGCCAAAGGCACGAGTCGAGCGCCGTATATGCACGAAATTTCTAGGGGGTCCAGGGCATGCTTATCCGGAAAATTTTTGAATTTAGACTCTCTGAAATGCCATTTCCTGGACTTTGGGGAGAGATTTTACAGAATTCTGATGGTCATAAAACTACATTGTAACATATCAGAGGCCCTGACCAATGTTTTTGCTCTATTGCCTAAGCCTGGGGGGCCCCATTTAGGTTGGGGCCCCCGGGTTCTCACGGTCTGAGCCCATAGTAGTTACGCCACTGATTTTGTTGCTCGTGTAACTCCACCTTAAAAAGGTTTAAAGGTTATAATTTATTCGAGCGTTATACTGATGTCGCTAGTACAATTTTCTTTCACACCTCTGGGACGAGGATTATAGATTCCTGCAATAGGTGGTTTATAATTTCACTCGAGTCATATTTAATCTATCAGTAAAAGCGACAACTCTTAAATTAAGCCCATTTTTCACTGGGCGAATTTGTTCGCGCGAACAGCAAAAAAGTAGGAACTAATCCAACTTTTTCGCGGCAAATTTTTTCGCTGACCAATCACATTGCCAAAATTTGTTTTGCCGAATTTTCGCTTCGCGCGAACAAATTCCCCTGGTGGAAAATGGGCTTCACTGAACCTCTACGGGAGGACAGAAATTTAGTTTAGTGTAGGGTTTTTCCTCTAGTAAGTGGTAACAGTTGAGAACACTGGTTGCGAATTGTACAATTGAATAATTGATATGATATCAATAAATTTTCTACAGGCTGACGATGTCAAGGAATCCCCAAGCCAAGAAGAAGCGACAGAGACACCAGACAATGATGAAGTGGCGCCCAGTGAAAAGCAAGCAAGTGGCGAAAAGAGCCGCGATTTATCGGATGACTTCATGCTAGTCAGCCGGGCCAAGGCTTTCCAGAAACTTCTTTCAGAACTGGAGAGCTATATCCAGGATGGCAACGAACACACACAGATGATTATACAACGTCAAGTTGATGAGATGTGAGTATGGGTGATGATGGTGTCATGGTGGTGATAATGATCATGGTAGTGGTGGCAATGGTAATGTTGATGGTCGTGGCAATGATGGTGACAGTGATGATGGTGTCACGTGTGTTTATATAGTGAGGCGGATATGTGTAAAATTATTGATCAGTTGTTCCCGTTGAGGTTAAAAGCATCAAACTTTTACAATTGATGTAGTTTTACAGCAATAACCATTTGAAGAATAAAAAAACTGTTTAAAAGTCTTTTATGTAGTTTTTTTTACAAGCTTTCTGATGATGCAAGTTATATTTGTCGCGATTGAATTCAAAATTTCACATTTTTTGTTGTAGTAGAATTTAATAGCAAATAATGCTAATAACATCGTAACTCTCTAAGAAAAACAGTTTCACGATGGCCCCACTTTTGCATGTTGTTCTACTCATAAAAAGATGCTACTGTGCACAATTTTGTGTTTTTAACCCTCTTCGGAAACATCCATGCACATATCCGCCACACTAATAGTAGTCATCATATAAGTCTTCATATTTTGTCCATGGATAGAATAATTTATAACTTACCATACAGTTATTTTCTCTCAGAGTAAATTTAGAAGAATCTTTGCGTGAGGCCAAACAACACTATGAAGAGCAGATCACAAACTTGAAACAAGAGCTGGAAAATGAAGGATGCAAGATGAAGAAAGTTCAAGGAGAGAACGAGAACAAAAAATACGAGATTGAAAGTCTCAAGTTGGAACTAAAAACTGTTGAACAAAATTTGGAGGCGTCGCGTGAAAACATGAAGGAGCTTGGAAACAGGTGTTGTGCATTGATTGAACAAGAAACGGAAAACCAGGTATGTTATGTGTTTAGCATGATTTTCTTACCATTATAAAATAGACATGCTTTAATCTATGCAAAGGATGGTTCCTGTGATCTACCATAATGACCATCATATGTCATAACCACCAACATAATCGCTACCATTATCATCCACCACCATCATTATCAACCGTCATCATCCACTATCAACTGCCATCATGACCACAACCATCGCCACTGGTCATCACCATCACTACCACATTAACATTACCACCACCATGACACTCATAATTACCATCATGACCACAACCATCGCCACTGGTCATCACCATCACTACCACATTAACATTACCACCACCATGACAATCATCATTACCATCAACTGCCATCATCACCACAACCATCGCCACTGGTCATCACCACCACCATGATAATCATCATTACCATCAACTACCATCGTCACCACAACCATCGCCATTGATAATCACTATCACTACCACATTATCATCACCACATTAGCATTACCACCACCATGACAACCATCATTACCATCAACTACCATCATTACCACAACTATCACCATTGGTTGTCACTATCACTACCACATTATCATCACCACATTAGCATTACCACCACCATGACAACCATCATCACTACCATTGTTGGTAACATTTATACCATCATGAACACACACTTCCAGAGAGTACGTCACCTTGGTTATAGAGCCTTGTTTTCGTGATTGAGACGTTAGGCCTTTATTAATAGAGACCTTACGATTTAGAACGGCGACGGCAACGGCTACCAATACAATAGATCATTGAAAAGAATTGAAAATTTACAATATATGAATAATTTAGATATTTCCCTCGCTCTGTTTACAACGCCAAATCACAGATTTTCATGCCGCAACAAGTGCAACTTCAAATTTGGTTCAGGAGAACTCTTCCCAACCATAAAACCCATGCCTTCAACTTCTAAGAGTGTATTAAATTCATACGATTGATAATGTACGACAAATTATCTTTACTACCATTTATTTGAAGGAGTTTGTTTTGGCTGTCGTCGTCGCGTTGCCGTCCTAAAATCGTAAGGTCTCTAATGCTACATACACGAAACCGAGGCTCTATGCTCTATATCCAAAGTGACGTACTTTCCTGGAGGGTGTATTGTCTGAGAACATATGTCACAAACCATATTTTCTTTACAAGGTCCTAAATGAGAAACTTCGCCTCATCAACCACGAGCTTGAGAAAGTGAAACAGGACAAAGCATGTTTGGAAAAAGAACTAAGAGAGACCGCGGAAAGACTGGAGAGATTGGTGGAAGCCAGCGAAGGAAATGATAAAGAAAAACAAAAAACAGTTATAGAAGAAACTTTTACTGAAATACTCAACAAGAAGCTACATTTGGAGAGAGAGGTTAGTGTATATATATTACATGAAGTTGTGGAGCTCGACAACTGCACCACAGAATAAGGTACACAGAAGGCCGACTTCTTTGTTTTTCCTATGATTTTCCTATGATTTTGACGTAACCCGTAATTCGTCATCAAATGCTGACGCCATGGTCCTAGCCAGTGCTCGTTTGAGAGCATTCACCCCCCTGATAATATTCAAAATGGCGAATGTCCAGGGGGGGAATGCCTCTCAAACGCGCACTGGCTAGGACCATGGCGTCAGCATTTTGATGATGAATCATGGCGTGGCCGCGGTTACTCGAATCGACCTTCTGTGTACCTTATTCTGTGACTGCACTTTGTAGCTCAGTTCGTTCATAGCCTATCGAAGGGAAGATGGCTGTGAAACTCATTAGAATAACAATATAACTCATTATGATGTTAGTCAACGTTTATTCATAAATCTGGTCGTTTCACCGTCACGTGTGTATTGCATTTTTACCAAATCCACCAATAGCAATTTCCAGTTTCCCTATTGTTCAAGTCATGGATAGGTGACTTTCCTAAAACATTGCTATTGGTTAGTTGGGCAAGAATACAATACACACGTGGCGGTGAAGAACCAGATTTATGAATAAACGTTGGCCAACATAGATAATGAGTTATATTGTTATTCTAATGAGTTTCACAGCCATCTTCCCTTCGATAGGCTATGGTTGGTTAGATCGTTCAAAAAATCACTGACTGATGACTAGATTTGTTTTGGCAAATGTTTTACTTGTTGCTGTGTGTTTAGATTGAAAAATTGCGAAGTTCTTTCGCAAAAGCATTGAAAGAGAATGAAACATTCGCACAGTATAACACAAGATTGGAAAACAAGGTAAAGTTATATAAAGTGGGGTGACCCTGTTACAATTTGGTAAGAGTTGTGTTTGTTATTTACGATCAATATTTTGTTTATTTAGGCAAGCATTCTAGGCAGTAATCTCATAAGAGCCGAGGACGAAATATATCGACTTGATGGCATTGTTGACCGATTCTGTATGGTAAGTCTCAACGCATCAGCTCTTACATACTACTTAGAAGTGCGACAGGCTTGGTCAGATATCATCACCATGTCCATACGGTTAAAACCTCTAGCAATACTGTCAACTCTCATGCAACTCTTGTTCTCGAGCTTGACCGGCGCATGCGAGTTGAGAAAACTCTCATGCAAACTCTCGCTTCTCAACTCTTGTTCTCGTTTGACCGGCGCATGAGAGTTGAGAAGACTGCCATGCAAACTCTCGCTTCTCAACTCTCGTTTGACCAGGGCTTAAAGAGAGGCTTGACTAATTATTTTGACGTATTTTTCCATGCAGGCAACCCAGAGTGGTTGGCAAACAATGACGCCATCCCAAGATTTGCGTGATTTGTTAAAGGAACTGAATATCGACGTCGAGTAAAAATTAACATATCGAGCGAGATTGAACCATTAGTTGTTGGTGGTATATAAAGTAGATTTTTAGCTATGTAAATAATGTAATATAAGGTTTAATGTTATATCACTAAAAATTTGGGCATTTATTTCAGAACTATCATGATCACTGGCGCTTTATGTACTATTTACAACATGAGCGGCCGTGTTGTATCGGAATAAAATCGGACGCGAATGTTGTAAATGGCTTAAAAAACGACTCGTCTTATGAGCTCATTGGCGAAGTAATTTTAAAAATAAACGTTGTCTAAGCCGAGAAAATCAAAGTTAAAGTTTATGTAAATCAACATGAATCTGTATCACATATATACAGACTCCTTCACGCCCATGATTTCTTTTGTGTCTTCATGAATTATTGAGTTTTTTAATGGTCATTCCAGAAAAATATCCACCCTCTCACCGGAGGAAATTTCTGCCGTCCTTCTAAATTGCTCAGTGGGCAAGGTATGGATGTTTTCTGGAATGACCCATTATAATTATACTGTTGCCTTGTTTCTTGGTTAGATAATAAGCCACAAAAAGCCAGGGCCACTATTGCGTATTTTGACTATTTTCCACAAGATTTTATACTGCAGCTTATCTGCCATTATACAACTAAGTCCAGCACAGTTGTAGACATCAGATGTTGGGATCCTAGGGATGCATGCTTAAGGTAGAAAATTTCAAGAATTCCCTTTTTAAGTGCCAAAACTGATCGATTTTCAAATGCCACAACTCCGTTTTCAGTAGAACTCGACTTGATAATATGAAAATTTTCAACTAATTGGGTTTGAGCAAATTAGTGGACACTCAATTTTGACAATATAAAACACAACTCAAAAAAATTATTCGGTTCCTGGTCCCCTCTCGTAATTTGCAAACTGAAAATATTTTTTGGCTACCTGCAAAAAAAACTAAATATACAGGCATGATTGTAGAGATTAACTGTTCCTCTGAGTCAGGATGCCCACCACTTGGAACGTTTCACGATTTCAAATTTTTTGCATAAAATGGAGGCCCCCCAATAGTATTATGAAAACATTACAACGAAACATTGCAACTTGAAGAATTTTATTGTTGAACACAAACACAATGATGCACAGTAGATCATTACTAAGAGATTTACTTTAATAAAACATATACAAAGATAAAAGCGAAAACAAAATGTTCATAGTCATAGACACAGTTCATAATTAGACAAAGTTCATAATTGGACAAAGTGCTCGGCAGAATGAAGCTAAAGCCATGTATTGTCTTCGTATTTTACAGCAGAGACCTAAAAAGTAAATATTAAAATTTTAGTCTGAGAACCTTAAAATTTATAGGGAATTTCCACGGCCATATTAACCCATTAGTGTACAAGATAGTGCAATGCAACTTAATGGTGTTACCATTCAGTACCAGCACTTTCCCCTAGGGTACAATGCAACTCAATGGGTTAATTTTACAAACATTGTATCTGGTCATACTTAGATTGAATTTATTTAGTACAAAAGTAAAGCTTACCATATGTGATCTTAATAGCGTCGGTCTGGGGACCTTGATCGACTTCGCCAAGTTCTAGATTGAATAAGAGTTAGTTGAGAAATAATCCACAAATCATTGATTACCAAGGCTGATTATTTGAAGGCAGATCCTCACATCTGACTATTAAAATGGTAGGAACCTAACCCTTGCCTAGGTGGACTTCCATAACGACTGCCAGGGCTATGGGGCCTACCATAGAATCTAACCACTGCACCTAGGATCACCAATCTCAAACAAATTCAGAACAAAACGAACAGTTTGTTTTAACTTTATTGATATACCTTTCTTCAACGGAGATGAAAAATCTATGTGTATTTGGGCATCATGGTGTGTTGAAGTAGATGTTGTAGTATCGAAATTGTATGAAGCCGGCGCTGGAAGTTTTGCCCAATTGAAGACTAGCAGTAGTTTCCACAAGTGGACGACTCTTTGTGTGGGCCGAACATGGGCAGTGATGTGTTAGTTGAAATTTTAGTCGTCAGATAGTTGTCTAAGAAATTATCGGCGATGACACTCAACGGTTGTCTAAGACGAATTGAACTAGATGTGTTGCGAAGAAGTTGAAAAGGGCTATTACTATGTTGGTTGATCTCAAATGTAGAGTTGTTGACGTAGCAGTTGAGTAATTGCCGGATACACTGTCGATGAGCTGTTGACTGCAACTTTTATAACGACGTGTCGAAAGCGAAGAGCTTGGCAACTTTTGTCGACTTGTCAAAATTGATGATTTTCAAAAAGACTAGTCGACCTTTGTGGTTTGTTAGAGGACAGTCGAATTTCATGTCAGATGGTAGCAATGTAGATGAAAATTAGAAATAGGGGATATGCAGACGCTGTTGAAAAAACAAAAATATTACTTGCATATGATGTAAATCAAACAAAACACATTGATTGCGAGGGTAATCAACAGTACTAAAAACTTTACCGTGGGCCTCTGTCGTCATAACGACGACTTTGATAGCGATCATCACGGCGATCTCTGCCACCTCCGCGTCCACGACCTCTCCCCCGACTTTTTCCATGTGACAACTCTACTCTCACACGGTTCCCACATATTGTCCTGCCGTCCAAATCGTCACATGCATCCTTAGCATCTCGTTCGTCAACAAATTCAACAAAGGCAAATCCAGGGGGGTTGCGGGCTACCCAAACATCATGAAGTTTGCCAAAACGAGAGAACTCGTGTTCAATTTCCTCCTTGCGAGCATCATGTGGTAAGCCGCCGACGTAAACTTTTGTTGTGCGTACGTCACTTCTCGACATCCTAAACGAACAGAACATACGTGTAACAAAGCTTTTGATATTTGAAATATTTCATATTTTCATAGAAATAACCGGGTCACAGACTGCGACTGATCAAAGAAACCAATCTGCAAATGAAAACTATATATTTAACAAAGAAATCCCTAGTTTTAAAAAAACTTTAGCCAATGGAAATTTGATTTAACAATTCAAAGCGAAAGAAAAAGTTCTCCTCACTCAAATTCGACATCGCTATATTTTGAAATTGAAAGGGTCAAAATATCTCTGATTAAATTATTTAAAATGTGCATAAAAAAATTCTTACTGGTTTCATTTCTACTCGAATTTTTGAATCTAACACCTCATTACTCTACACAAATAAAACATTAGCTATTTCTGCCAAATGCCTCGCTAATTTACGTTTATATTTACTCCAAATACCAAATATAAATCAAGCTCAAAACCATCTCAGTGAGTGCCACGCATCGACATTCGACGCGAGCCTAAAAAACATCAATTTTATGTGTTTTCCATTGCCCAAATAGACAATAAATGAGTAATATTACCTTCTATAGATGAATGCGATTGATATTTCTTGATTTTATTGAGTTTTAATGCTTAAAAACTTGATTTTTTGTGAGCTTTCCGCCTTCCCTCTCAAAACATGCGTTGATCTGTTTGCAAAATATAAACGACCACAATGCTTTGCGGTTTTTGAAGCTCATGCCAGAATTCCTTGGTATGAGCTTCGGAATTCCTTAATTTTCCGAAGTAGACTGAAAATTTATTTCCATTGTATTTGTATTCTCCCCCCCTCTATATCTGTGAACTATGGTATTTGCTAGCAAATACAAGATTGGCAGATATATTATGAACAATACAGTCATTCAGATATAGTTGGGTTTGTAGATGGAAATTAACTTAATACATGCGGCTGCGAAAAACGCAAATATATGTCCTCTGGCAGGAATCAAACTTGTAGCCCTGCAGTTCCGGTGCAGCTCTCTAACCAACTGAGCTACAAAGGCCAGTTGTCAAGCTCTGATCACTCAGATATAAACTGTCATTCCTATTAGAGTTGTTCGCAGTCCTATTTAGTGAAGCCACTTATACTACCACATACTAGTAAACGCAACACGTTCCCATTCGTAAACAATATAAGGCTTGCTTGCACAATGCATGTTGGACGCTTTGGTTTGGCGACGGCCAACCCTATCGCCTCTGCGCATTCGCGAAACTGCGATAATTTTTTCTCGCACAGCCATACGCAGGCTAAAACCACTGAGCTATAATATAACTGGAGGAAGTGCTCGGCATCAAAAGGTGAAGCCAAAAACATGGCGGATTTTCACGTCTGCTGACGCCAGAATGACGCCACTGGTCCCAAATCCTCGTGGTAATTACCACTGACCAACCGCGAT